CGTTTTGGAGCAAATATATATTTATTATCTATTTTTCCGACAATTACACAAACGACAAATATTCTTTTCCTACACACTTTTTTCCGTGACTTAAATTAACATTCATTTCTACAGTCTATTGCATCAAAAACTGTTTCATTAGGAATCACGATAAGGAATGTACTCACACTTCACATCATAGCTAGATGAAATCATAGAAAATCATAGCTTTTTTGACATGAAACCTATTAGAAAACCACCTACACCAATTGTGTACAGTACAGGCGTACTTTATTCCCACTATGTTTGGGACAACAAAATGTCATTTGTTAATTTTTATAAACAATTTTCTACAAAAAATCGCGTTTTTTTAGTTTCTTACTTGTAAAATCGAAACGATTGAAGCCATCTTAATAATATACAGTAATTATTTAGGTTTGTGGGTTTCAACCACAACTTAATGATATAGAACTAAATCACGAAGAGAACCGGAAAAAACGAGAAAATTTTATGTTTTCTTTAAAAAATCACAACTTGACCAATTTTTTTAAATTAAGAGCTTAAATTTTGCTCACTGGTAGCTATTTATTTGTCTGTATGTGTGCAAAAAGCTGTCTGTACTCCGTCGGATTAACAGTTTTCGCGTAATTCCAATTTCAAGTTTTAGCGACTTTTTCGCCAGGGCTAAACGCTATTGAGCTTCTCCGATTTAAATTTAAGGTATGAATTTGGAAACTAGACATGAGTAGCAACAAAATGGAAAAATATGGATGTAACTGCGATCTAAGTTCATGTTCTGAAGGATGCTGATCAGTTTCCCGTGGTTCACACAGTCAAACGACCTCTAGTAATCGAGAAAACACGGGTATACATGCATTGGTGGACATGTTGCGGCCTCTCTGTATTAATACCTTATTTTGTCAAATAGAGCCTCTCTGGTTCCTAACCCGCGCTACGAAATCCAAATTGAGTATCAGAGAGGCGCTCCTCCCATTTACGGTATAATCGACCATGAAACTTAGTAACTGGCGATTTAAAATAATAAATTTTGATTTGATTCTGCTAATAAAACAATGCTAGTTTTAGCAAGTTGAAAATTGATAAGCCTTTTATGACCCGAGGCTGATTTGCTGTTATCATAACATGGGATTTTTTTTCGCAAAGTGGCTGTAAACCCCCTGACCAACCCTCTTCTTTTTTCCGGGCTTGGGATCGGCAGTGGTAGCTCCTGAGCTACTCAGTTCACTCATTACCTACCACAGGCGGAGTTCAAAATAAGCACAATACAGGGTTCAATGAAGAACGCGTAGAGGAAATAAACCGTGCAAGACAAAGTGTGCTACAAAGAAGAACGGACGAGTAGTAAGTATAAGACTATCGCGAAATAAGAAAAAGAGCTCGAAAACTACTGAGAACAAAGAAGATATAGCACTAGCAACGAAAACTGGAAGAAATGGAATGGAATAGCAACCACAACCGGTTTAGAAAGTTCTATAAACAAATTTCAAAGACAAAAAAGGCTTCAGACCTAGAGCCGAAACCATACTTAAGAAGGAAGATTGAAGCATAACGACCAACAAAAGTGAACTAGTGGATAAGTGGAAGCAGTACTTTTACAAGCTTTTATATATAGATCAACGAAAGGAACAGACTACAACCGAGTACCAAACTGCAGAACCGCCCGTAGAACAACCCACATACGAAGAAACCATCAAAGCTATCACAAAGCTCGAAATAAACTTATTACCCTTATATGGAGCCAGGAGAAATTACCAGATGAGTGGAAGGAAAGCCTCATCATACCTATCCATTAAAATGGAGTCAGAACAAATTGTAGTAACTATAGAGGGATATCCTTAATCAACACGGCATATAAGATCCTTGCAAACATACTTCTTAAAGGTCTTAAACTCCTCGTAGAGTCAGGCTTGGAGGTCTACCAGTGTAGATTCCGTCAAAATAGATCTACTGGGAGTTTAACAGTGATTCGTCAAGTGGTCATTGAATTTAAGCCAGCATACGATAGTTTTCTAAGAGTTAACCTATAGTGATTCTCAAAAAATCTAATGAAGCAACAAGTATATGTGTCAACGGCTCCAGAAGTAGAGTAAAAGTGCCTTGAAACAAGGTGATTCTCTCTCCCCTATATGTGCATATGCCCTATAATATGCGCACATACTGTCCACGCATTCTAGCTTGCAATTCAGGGTTATTGTTATAAAATTACCAACATGTTTTTCCCAGTGCTCAAATTTAATTTGTAAAAAAGCTGCGCAGGTGGCCATCCAAAGCAGGTGACCCTTAGACTGTTTGGAATTGTTACTGTCCAAAAAAAACGAGGGTAGCTGCAAAATGTTTGTATGGCGGGTATCGAAACTAGGGAGAACCCTAGCGAAGAAAATAACAATAGTTATTTTATTTTTGATAACGTTTTTTTAAAAATCCAAAATTGTAAAGGCACGTACAGACATGCAACCGAGTACAGAAACGCATCAAATCTAGGCGACAGTCGGCAACAGTCAGCGTATCCTCGCAACGTCTCATCAGTTGTCTGTCTTTTACAAATCTCGATTCTTTTAGATTTCTGGTCTAGACCAGACGAGTGACAATTGTGAGAATGTGTGAAAGTCTTATTATCGTGCGCCAACACAGAACTGACTGAATGAAGAATTTGATAATCTGTGATACAAAGATACAGAAATTGGTTGATATCGAATTTGCTTCTCACCAACTTTAGACAATCGGCAATACACAAATTTTCCGGCAGTGCTCACGTAGACGCATGAAAGTAAGGCCCCAAATATGTGCAAGTCGGGACCCAAATGCGAACACTTAGAATTTGTTGCGTTTTATCAGAGTATTTAGTATGTTTAAGGTTTGCATGAACCGATGAGAGCGAATAATGTGTCGTGACGACAATACGCTTCGCATTCTGTTTAGCCAATGTTTAGCGACGGTGTTGCGTCATTGTGTTCTGTTTGGTACGTCTGTACGCGCCTTTATAACAAAGCCTACCCCAGCAACCTGCTAAAAGAGCGCGTCGCGAACACGACACGAACAAGGGACTAGTGCGACTCTTTTTGAACATTGTTTGCACGATTACCAACGAATCTCAAATTTGCCAATTTTCGATAAAGCTGGCATTTTGCAAAATCATGTCGAGCGACACTGCGGCTTGTTGGGTATTGTGATACAGTGGTGTCTGGATAATCGCCGCACACAAAAAATCCAGTTATACAATTTCATTAATGCTAACTTATATTTCTAGTCCCATTACGTATTTTCTTACTGACATTTCTTATTACTTTTCGGAAATCGTGTAAAAGTATTCTTCGGATGACCAATACCAAAAAATAAACCCGTCAACACTGCGGCACGACCCTACTTTGATCTTGCCGAGAAATCGGCCAGACGCGGCTCGCGACAAATATCAAGCCCGTATTCGTCACTCAAAATTTTGGTTTGTCTCGCGCGTGTGGTGCTTGTTAAACATCGTCATTTTAAAATAATACAAATAAACGTACTACCTATACTCAAATTTTTCCTTGATTCTCTCTCGAAGGAAATAGGCCTCAAAATCAATATGAATAAACCAAAACTATGTGTCCGGTGGATCCCAATATCATAATAGACAACAACAAAATAGAGAATGTAAAAGACTGCATACTTAGGCCAACGAATAACTCCTGGAATGGGAAACAAATATATCGCAATGGAAAGGAGAATTAGATTGGGATGGGCGGCTTTCGCAGAACTAAAAAATATGTAAATATAAACAAAGAAATACTCCTGTATCTGCGATCAAAACTTTACGACCAATGCGTCTATAGCCAGTAACCACATACGGCGATCAAACATGGACCGTCACAGGGCAAATGGTGAACAAGTTCAGATTATCCCAGAAGAAATATGGAAAGAAGAATATTAGGTGTTTCTCTGCGTGACAAAAACGAAACGAGTTAATTAGAAACAAGTCTAAAATAATCGATATAATAAACCGGGCAGTACAACTGAAATGGGACTACACGGACATATTCCCCGAATAAGTGGTAATAGGTGGGATGGAAGAGTGTGGCAATGGGGGCCATGGACCGGCAGAAGAGCGAGAGGATGACCTATCACACGTTGGTAGAACGACATAAAAAAGTTGAGAGGACTTCCCTGGATGAGAATTGCCCAGAATAGAACAAAATGGAAATAACTAAGAGAGGCCTATGTCCAATTCTGGACGAAGAACGGCTAGAAGAAGAATAAGGAGGTGGAATGGAAGAGTTTTGCGATGGAGGCCATGGGCCGGCAGAAGAGCGAGCAGAAGATCTATCACACACACGTTGGTACGACGACATACGGCATAAAAAAGGTAGCGGGACTTCCATGGATGAGGATTGCCCAAAATAGAACAAAAAGAAAAGAACTAAGGAAGGCCTATGTCCAATTCTGAACGAAAAATGGCTACAAGAAGAAGATACCCAAATCAATGGGCATACATTTTTACCGGCATATTCTACCAAGAGCTTCTTTTTCGACAACATGTGACACTGCCACGCATTGAAGTCCAATACTTATCTCGTCGTAAAACATTATTAAGTTAATAAAATATTATGTGAAGCTACATCACGTGCACCTACGTGACTCTGCTTAGCTTATTGGCTGATGACCACTTCTAATCAGCACACGAAATCCCAGCAGTTAATAATTAATCATACATTGTCTACGTATTTTTTGTCTATCGCGCGTGAGTTGCATGTATTTATTTAAGCATTAATTTTCAAATGTTTTCAGTCGCTTAAGTAATAGCATTGGTAAGCAAACATATTTTAATAGTTGGCTTCCCGGGAAAGCTACAAACGTCTTGCGCATAAAAGAACCCATACCAACAAGATTCTATTTCTAAAAGGCAATTCATCCCTCGGATCAATCGCTTAATAGAACTAATAATGTCTTCTATACTTGTCTTTTTCCAGCGATTTCTCTCACGATCATTTGGCAACAGAGACGGAGGCAATCTGGCCACTGTTGTCGGTTTTGTGCGCTTGCCGTTTAGTTTCGGTTTAGTTGTCCCTCGTTTTTCATCGTTCAGGAAGCGCTTACTTTAAAGTGACGCTTAGAGAAATGTGACGCGACTATCCGAGCATGGTTTGTTTGCTGATAATTGTCGGCTACAAATAATGTTAACAGAGTACGGAATTGCGCTAATTAAAAATCTGAAAAAAGTTTTTTGGAAAAATTTGTTGTAAATGTGTTTTTTGTTGGAAAGTACATTTTGAAAAATAATGATTTATCTTAATAGCTAGCTTATCCGCAGTTACTTGCTACAGATGTAGTGCCACGGGCTTAGCGCCAAAATTTATTAAGTACCTAATTGGATATGAGAGCTGATATTTGTTGACATTTTTGGATACATTAGCCAAATGTTTAAAACGGTAAGTTTAATTGACAAAATCCGTTTTACAGGAAAAAAGTTTCTATTTTTAAGCTGATGTGGAAGTGTTCTTGCACAGTATTTAGGAGAGATTGGCATATGATAGCAATGTCAATGTGTACTTTCTGGCTAACGTTGTCAATTCATTTGATCAAACACCAGTTAAAGTTAATACTGTCTTGATGACTACTTTATGAGGGAAATATTTCCCTAATAAAAAAATACGTTTTTTAGACCAGTGCAATCTATCACTACCTTACCTTACATTGTTATGATAAAATCCTCTAACAGGTCCTAATTTGAAAAATAATTTGTAGTGATCTACAGAGCTTAAATATTCTTAACATATTTGCGATTGTTTTGGGGCATTAACATAAAACTATTTGCATTGAAAGATTTTGTTTTAGTGTCCGTATTTGCTTAATGTTGTTTTTTTTATTGTATTGGTTTTATACTGGAAAAATCAAACAGGAAGTTTCTCCTCACTTTTGTCGACGTTTCGCCACTTCTATTTGGGGTCATCCTCAGGACACTGAAATACAGTGCTGTTTTTTGTATTCTTCTTTTGCATTTTCAAACCCGCTGTTTGTTCAATCACGTTTGTTTTCATTTGACTCCATATTTAATCAAGTTCAATGGATTCAAAATATGAAGCATAGAAAAATGTTTATAAAAATTTCAAATGTTTTTAATAGTTACATAAAACGGCTCCTCAAATTTAGCGGTCAAGTGCGAAATTAAGAATCTAAATTAGTTTGGAAAGGAGACGCATTTCATTCGCACTGAACCAAAACTAATCGAAACTCACCCCGACCAACACAAATCATACCAATTGGGTTTCAAATGCAAGATCAAAATTAAATTACTGTTCGTACCGATTATCGAGTTACATATTTTTTACGTACAATAAATATTGTTTTTCCGATTTGACCAGATCCAAATTAGTCATTTTTTGGTTGATTCGAGCAACATTAGATTTCCGATTTTGGCCACTTTCTATCTCCTACATTTCTTTTTAAGATTTTACGCATTTTCAAAAATTATGTCAAGACTCGCAACTGAAGATAATCTTCTTTAACCAGATATGACCATGGTAATTACATTAATTTTGATTCGATTGTTCCGATAATTACAGATTCCACATTTACAAGGTGATGAATAATTTTTAGTCGGGGCAATGAAAGAGGTATGGGACAAAACTCACAGAAATAAGTAGAACTTTTCTATTAACATATGTCCGCAAGCGCTTTATTTCTGAGTTAAAGGGGATTGAAAGTATTAACTTAATTTTTGTTAGGAGCTGTATCTTCTACTACTGTGACTTTTTTGTTCTGCGCCTCTTAAGGGTAACAACTTTTATGTGAATTTTTCTATTTAGTTGTAAATTATATTAAGCTCTTTGATAAAAAATAAGAAAATAGAATTCCCTTGTATGTTTTTGTTGCTCATTTTCTGATAGTTCAGTATGATTTTTTTTATTTGCACCCTTCCTCATTAATGCCCGTCAAATGAGAAAGAACGGGAAGCTGGCAATTTTAAAGGGCAATTAAAGAAACTACATTCCGTTTTTACCGATTCAGAGAAAAATTATGTATTCAACCAATTATGAAGAATTGAACGTGTAAATGTACATGTAAAACTTAAAAGCTTTTAACAAAACCTGAGTTGGTCAGATCGCAGGCTGCGTGGATGATTGACATTTTATACATAGAGTTCGTTGGCATGAAATTTTGATGTATACTTTATGATTAAATGATTTGTAAATAATTTATGGAAACTATTTTTAGTTAACTCTTTATCTTATGTTTGCTCCCTTGGGCTCGCTTTAAAAAATATTTGATTCGAATATTATTCTCGAATATTATAATAAATAGCATTGAAATAAATTTATTTATTATTACGTATAATATTTTGATTTTCATTCTATTAACTTTTTACGCGTCATCTCAGACATTCCTTCAAAAAATACATCTAAAGGTAAATATTAGTTTGACATGAAGAATAATAAACAAATTTCGAAAAATTCTGAGCAAAATTATTACAGTGAATAATACACTTACTGTTTTGTCTGTCTAATTAAGTATATTAACAATTATTGTGATTTGGAAGACATTTTGGACCATTGGACTTAACAAGACGAACAAGATGATGCGTTACAGCTCGAAGAAATCGTAAATATTTCCAAATTTCCAGACAGCTGCGTTGGTTTGTGGTCTTATTTCAATTAACCGTTAATAGCACAACAACGTGCGGTAAGGCAAAACCCTAAACCAGATTGCCGTTATTGATTGCTACAATAGATTTGCGTCGGCAAAATCTACGAAACTGAAGAGAAAACGCCAAAACGAATCCGAATATTCTAAATAATAAAACATACTTTAATGGAATGAGCGATCCTATGTCGCTCGCTATGTGTTTGATGATGTTTAGAACTAATATTAAATAAAATTGTATGTAACAAATAACATTATAAAAATGAGACAAAATGATAAAGCATTTAAAAGTAAGGGCAACATCGTTTGTATGAGCTTCGTATTTGAAATTTTTTTAACATGAGAAAATTTACTTTTTTGATTATAAATGGTGTGGAGGATCATATTCTCGGGTCAAAAATCGAATAGCTTCCTCATATAAAAATGTCGGTTAGTAGCATAGATAGTGAAGTACGTGCAGACAAATTTTCATCCATACTATATTATCACTGAAACATGTCAACAAATAATTATCTTCACTTTGATCATCCCTCTCTATTTATGATAGTAAAAATCACACGTGACTTTCAGATAGCCGTGCGTATTATATGTATATGTTACGGTTAAACTTCGAAGTTCGCTAATCTGGATATTAACCGGTTAATCCCGAGTTTAACACAAATGTTATGATAATGTTGAAATAAATTCAGCCATTTTTGCTTCAAAAATATCAACCTCCATTCGTTCCTCAAGGCCAAAGGTTTTTCCGGCCTTAATGAAACCGAAACTAAGTAGGTTTGGGCAACTCGTTTTATGGAAATTTGTTTAATATATTTAATCATAACATTTTGCAAATAACATGACGGTCGTGAGACTTTGATCTTCAATAAGTACACAAGTTGACTGATTTTGTCATTAAGTGTGTACACAACCCATCAATTTCATTTCATTGAAATAATGTTTAAAATATCTCGTTTCGTTTTCATTAAATTCGAATTTGTGAAGTTCGAGTTACATAACGATGCACTTGTGTAAACGGGAATCGCAAATCCAACAGCTAGTACCGAAACTCCATTTAGACATTTTCTCCTAAGTGTTTGCTTTGAACCCGGGCTTACGCTGAACAAACAGCAATCTTGTAAACCTACCAAAGCAATAAACTAACCTCTACCAGACCCCGATACTGAGAAGATCAATAAAACTTTAACCGGTCCCCAGCCTTTTTGTTATTTTTTCTCTCACTCTTTCGGCACGAGGAGGGCTTCCCGTCACGGAGATTAGACACACGCTTTAACGACCCATTTTGATAATACACCAAGAAACGGGAAGAGGGTAGATTTCGAAACGAGTATTGAATCCTCTGAACATTCGGATTTACGAACCACAGGGCGGTAACGGGTAAATTCCTTCACACGACCGTTAAATGCATAACTGGTTCATAATCTAATTTTGGAGAACGAACAGGTTTTATATGTGTATATTTAAATGTAACCAAAATAAAGAAGGGAAGGTAGAAAGTCAATTAGCTTCCTCAACGACCTTACGGCGATAAACCGCAATTTTGATGGTTTGCCTTTTGAATGGCCATCAGCAAAAGTACTTGATTAGTATTTGCAAATATTTCAGTTTACACCTGAAAACAACTCAAATGCCCAGCTGGTGACTTATCATTGAAACATTCTCAAATCAAAAATTAGATAAACGTTGCTACAAAAAGTTGCACTATTTTATCTTAGTGTTGCAAAACGTTTAAAATAAGTCACCTACTGTGACCTGTATTCTGTTGTTGGTTATCCATTTCTATCATTGTTATTCTATTTATTTTTATTAAATATCCACTTAGAAGATCTGCGGTTGGCAAACATTTACAAATTACAAAATTATTCTTCTGTTACAATAGAGTGAATACTAAATAAGCCGAAACAGACAGAATATTTTTTTCTAATAATATAGAACATTAAAAAATTACATTAAAAGTATTGTTCTATCTTTAGCAATTTTCTCTTTGATTCAACACTACACGTGATTTATCTCAGTAAAAACAAATTCTTCTAACCTGAAATGTCCAACCACGCATCAAGACAAGAGTGCATCAAATATTTACAAAAATTAATTTAGAATTTCGGATCCATGACGAATAAGAATTGCAATTGTAATGTGCCTAACAATTTTAAATTTGTATTAGGTTTTGGGCGGTAGATTAGGAAACCGCCAATTGCAGATGCACACATCCCTATTCCTTTTTCGGTTTCCAAGTCGCGAATTTCTGTATTAGTATCGGTAAATTATCCTAAGGACTAGGAAGTATCAACTGGTCTGATTGTTTTACTCAGAAGTTGTTGCTAAAATTGATTAATTATTATTTAATTACTTCTGCTTTCAAATTTTATTTCTTTTGTGGGTGACTTAATTCATTAATTGCGTACCCTGTATTAGGGTCACATTTAAAGCTTAAAAATATGACATATTCTGTGGATATTTCTTATGTAAACCGAAAACCCATTATCCCACATGAAACAAATACAATGTGGAAATGGTTTATACCGATCGAACTTTTAGCTGGTTTACAATATGATTTTATCAGTCACTTTTCCACTAACGTAATTGAAGTACTTCGCGTCACGCAATGGTTTCCTTAGCCTTAGGTAGTTTGCAAGTTTAATTTATTATTTATGAATTAATCTCATTATCGCCTAGCGCTAATCCAGGGTCGAATTAATGTAAACTACCCGCTCATATTACTAAGAAAATTACATATTTCATGCAAATGGTAATGTTTTTTTGTAGCTTGTTAGCATTAGTATGGAATCAATTGTTTTAATGGAATATTTTTTTATTAAAACTGTCAGTTATTTATTTCGTTATTTATCAAAGATCCTGAACGCCTAAAACAATCTACTTTAACCGTCCCATATACATATGTATATGGTATTACATCATTCCATTCATATTAGGAGATACCAATTAAGAGCATTATTATATAACCGAACTTAACAAGCAGGCATTATGCTCTACGACACCGGGTCAACGTTGTAAGAAATTGAACTTAATTTAATTGTTTTAACTGTTATAGTTCATAATTAATTTATAATACTGATAATTTGTGTTTCAGGGTCCACCACCGCAAGGTGGTCAAATAAAATTTACCATAGCAGACACATTAGAAAGGATAAAGGAAGAATTCAATTTTCTTCAAGCACAATATCATACGTAAGTATTTTATGTATATTTTAGTTATCAGCAATGTGTTAGTCCTCGTTATTTTGTTCTTGTCATAGTTTAACCCAAAAAGTTAGGAATTTGTTATATATTTATGGTGGACAAGCAATACCTACATTTTGTTTGCAAAAATGTGTTAGCTAAATTCAACAGTAGATCATAACGGTTCGGTTTTCGATTCCATTGGGCCGTCCTGGAAAATTTCCTGCTGACGTATGGCAAACACAATTCGCTTACATCATTAAAGGTGTTTCTATCTATGCGGGTTTAAGACTTAAGCCTGTCGTGCTTGCTAAACACTAAGAAGAAGTTCGTTTTTACTACAGCCCAAATGGCCGAAAAATTCAATAGTGTCAAATACAACAGTGTTTAGACAGCTTTTAAAACGTTAGTTGATTTCAGTCAGTTTCAGTTGATAATGGTCTACATGAATCAGTTTGGGAACATTATAGCAGACGAAACCACAATGCGAGTCGAATCAAACAAACATTATCCGCCTAACTTTATTATTAGGAAATAATTCTATAATACTAGCCAATAAGCAACAAGAAAATTGATAAAAGCTTCAATGTGTGTCAGATTATTTGAATTATTGATCGTACACGATTGAAATCATGTAATTTAATTGTGAACAATGAATTAGCAATTGATTTCACTTTAGCATTGACGATACGAAATGTTCAAAAGACACAAAAACGTTGAAGTGGAATCCACGGCATAATCAGTTGATATTATAAAGCAATTATAATTGATTGTCTAGTTTAGATTTTAAAGCTCATAACAAATATTTTATACTAAAAAGTAATTTAGCCACTGCTTTGCTGCACAGAACACATTACACCAAACGTTAGTCTGGCAGATCTCCAAAGTCTGATTGGAAATCGTTATTTGAACAGTGGTATCAATAAAAATAAATGAAGGGGGTTTGGAAGTTATGCCATTCTAATTTGCGATTGCGATTCTTTCCATTTCCAGTTCTTCGTTATTTAAATTGTTTGATAAATTTGACCAATTTTCTCATACAAATTTAAAAGTATAGAATATTTCTTTTGAGCCTCTGTTTTTACACTTTACAAGTAGTTATATATTTTCATAATATTTAAAAATGTTATAATCACTAATATTTAAAAATATGTCGCAAATATTCTTGAAAATCACCAATTCTCGCGCAGTTTATACATCCAGCCTAATACTGTTCTTATTTCCCAGAAAATGCTTAAATAAGTTACTGGAATAGTGCAACATGCGAATATATAAAGAGCGTCTTGTTCTTCTACACAACTGTTAACAAGTCCGACAAACGTACCGAGTATACCAAACTTTTGGTTGATATAATATATTTGTATTAAGCTCTGCGACCATTAGCAAGTTCTTTCTCGACATTCGCAAACTCACTAAAGGTATATATTTCTTATCAAGTAAAGAAAATCGTGCATCGTATCATTAGTATGAACCAAGAAAACTGATTTATATGATACAAGGATAGGAAATGTATCGGACGTATATGGTTCTGATATCAGGTGATGATTTGCAGTTAAACCGAAAGGTATTTGATTTATAAATCGATGTTATTCTAATAGAAACGACGCCAAACATATATGTATGTGTTATCCTAATTACTACCAGGAAATGTCACTAATACATGTACATTTTTATGAATTCGCATAGTGATTATGTTCGAGCAAAAATGCTTTATTAATACCGCAGCATACTAGTGTACTTTTATCATAAACTTCATTTAAGTTTGCGGTTGGCGGTTTAACACAGTCCATTTAAAATATATGAAGCAAAGAAGCGGTTGCAGGGTTATTAATGTGTTTTAGTTAATGTTCCAATGCAATCGACAGTGCTGTATTTCAACCAACTAAAAAAAATCGGTTGAACTAATCGTCTTCAAAGCTTAAAGCTTTTTTCGCTTTAAAACATTTCTCTGCTATCAGAAATATGTCAATTGGGATCTCTGCATGTTGCTACTTTTTACACAAGTTGCAAAAACTGAACTAACTACTCATTGAAGGTCGTAGGTAGTAAGCAGTGGCTAAAATAATTTTGATCTTGATAGAAGCAAGCACTAACGCAGTCATGGTAAACTGCATAAACTGATTTTTTATGGTCTCGAATGTTTAAGGAAATAAAAAAATCCGTTTCAAGTAATGTAAAGATAACATTTTCGGTTTTAAAACCTTTTTCCGCCTGAACAAACGTTAAAAATTTGTTGTTTCCTGTATTGTTTGAATATGTCGGTTTTTCCTCGTTTATCTGTCGGGTTTTCCTCATTTGTCTTTCGATTTTTCCTCAGCACAAATTCTCGAAAGTGAATGCCTATTTCACCAAATACTGTTTTCTGAGTGCAAATTATATTAGAAAATCTCCCACAGTATTTATTTTAATAACCATACTCTCTGAATACTCTGAATGTATATGTGGAAAACACCGCCGCAATTAAATTTTCTTACACCTAACAAATTTTAATAACGAACATTTGAGGAGTAACGAAAGATCATGCAATAACACTCACGCTCATTCCAGTCAAATTTAGCGTTAATATTTGGTTGCGGCTTCTGGGAGGTAATTATTACTTGAACCTACAACGTCTACCACTAGCGCAATTTGAATTGGTAATACAAAAACGACTTTGATTATTGACTTATAAAATTCAATCCAAACCTCACACACGAATATTACGGAGAACAGAAAAATAATTCAATTCAGGATGATGAGCACGTTTCGAGCATTCACTTCTTAACAACGTGGCAAAGACAAGCCCCAGGTTTGAAAATAAAGAAATCTGTTCCTGAAAATGTATTGCATTGTTTCAGCATCTTATTGATCATTCCAAAATCAATAAGCTGCAAAAAGCCAGAGTCAATATAGACTGAGCATTGAGTGTCATACATATTCGAACTTTTTCTTATCATGAGTGGCCACTCATTAGGCTGGTCTACTCGTCGCAGTGCTGTTACTCAAAGGTTTTTCGTCAAGTAATTATATTACATTGTGATCGTATGATTTCAAGATTAATTACAAGTGTGGATAATTAAGTCAATATAGACCACGAACAATTGTATTCTTGTTCACACAAAACGGAAAACTTCTGGACTGTCGATTTCAACATGTCTGTGTTCGTTGTTTAGAATTGGAATTACAAGTAGATCATAAGTATGTATATTTTTATTGATAGTGAAACACACTAAAACTGAACTTCGCGAGATAAATAGCATACAATTGAGGATCCATCAAATCAAGTAACGGATGGGAATATTTCGGCCTGATATTTTCATTCATTTATATTCACACGAATTCAGAGTTCTAGTCACTGATTTATATCTATCCGGTATGCTTCCATTTTGTCCTCAACTTTTTCTGCGGAAGTAGCGGGGCAACAATCAGACCCGCAATTACCGCAGTAAAATGCGAAGAACAAAAGGAAAGACCGATTAAATATTTCATTTGCTCGTTCTTTGAGATCGTTGTATAATTAACGGCGGTATGGGCGAAAGGCGATGCGTGATGATGTCGAGAACGAGCGGAACAATGGAGTGGAATGTCCTACACAGAGGCGGAGTGTGAATTTATAAGTTTCGGTCTGAATATCAGCTAATTCCAGTTTTTGGATTGGATTTAATAACAGTGTTCACTTGAGGATTGCAATCATCAATTTTTTATCTGATGGAACTTAGTTCTTCCTTATGAAGCAGATTTCAAATAACTTATTTTGGTTTCTTTGAAAAAATAACTGACGTTTCACCTATTTCCTATTTTGGTCTGTTAAGTATGGACAGTAATTTCTGCAAAAACGCTCTACATGATCTCAAGTTCAATTTCCCAGCACCTTATTTCAGGGGTCAAACATCCCAACGGTCTGGCATCGCATCACCTTGACAGCTTTCTGGCCCAGTCGTGACTCAAACCGCGAAAATTGTTCTTAGTTGTAGAACTATGACGATGAAACGTTTCCGTACCTATTGTTAATAAACCGTTTTAATTATATTAAAACAATGCTGGTTAATGTACTAAAAATAGCTACAAATTTAAAATATGCAAAAACTTTAAAACCCAAAAATATGTTGCTTCACTGCTATACATTTTTCGATACATGAGCTGCTAATTATTGTTGTGTCTTTGATATTTGCATCTAGGGGATTTATTTTTAAATGCTTTAATAACAAAAAATCGGTTTTGTTCTTTCAAGTAGTTAAAAATTAAACACGAAAACGCGGTGATTAATCGAGAAGTTTTCAAACATTAAGCACTTAGTTGCATCGAAATTTCCATATGATTGCCTACCCACTAATAGCAATAATATTGGGAAAGCCGAACGCATGGAAATAAAATTCAATTGAAACAGTGACGTACTTATATATGTCTTATATGGAAAATACACTATTCATGAAGCATCCGTTATTGCAATGATTTTAATTTTTTGAAACTTGCAAATAGATTCCCTACTAGGATTCTTCGTCATAACCTCAGTATGTAAATAGGCGTATAATAATGTGAATTAATTCATAAAATGCCATTCTAGTTAAGAACCTGATATAAATTTATTAATTTAAGCAAGATAAACATTTCTTGTATGCCACCAAGCTATGGTAATACGAGTTTTAAAAGACATTGCATTATCGCATTAATAAGAGTCTCCGAAATGAAAAGAGTCAGACATTTTTTGATTGCAGCGAAAACGTTAAGGTTTATTAAAGTTTAGGTAAACAAGTAATGAAAAACTGCTTTTCATTACTTGATATTTTCTGGTAATTTTTTTGATTAATAAATTGTAAAGCCTAACTCTAATGTATATTCATTCTACCATACGCGCTTATAATAGTACAGGAAAAACATACGCGAATATTTAGGATACATGTTTAAAAAATTACCAATACAAATTGATGTTTCTTGAAACACCGAATTTAATTTACTGTTTCCTTTATTGTCTATTCATTAGAAACGAGGTTTGCCACTACCCCCATTACCCGTATGAATAAACTATTTGGAAGAATTAATGTATTTGAGAAAATAAGTAGTTTTTTTTATTGTATTGATTCTAAGTACAATATATTTAATTTTGCTAAAATTTCTACTAAACCAAATGTACGTAGTTTGGATGAACGGAAGCTATTTTGTGATTTTTGTAGATCATTAACTTATGTGAAAAAAAAAACGCACCGTCATATTACAACCCAGTTCTAAACTAAACTATTGTTGAACTTTCTTTTATCATCTTTAAATATCAGGAAATCTGCTTGGCGATTGTTTACGTGCTCAATTCAACTTTTAACTATCTCCATGTTTGAAAAAAATATTATAAAGAGCGATACTTATATAACAAATAATGAAGACCTAGTGTTGGCGCGGATAGAACATTTCTGAACGTGCCAGTTCGGCGTCCTGTCATTTATTTTTGTTCTGGTTGTTTGGTGTGTAACAATGAAAAAAGTGAAGTTGTCAATCTAGTAATAATGAATAATAAAAAATTAATAAATCAGCAATCATCCAATCAATAATCTATAAAAAACGAAATAAAAAGGCAAGCAGTAATCCTCAGCGCACTAAAGCACAAAGGTGTGCACAACACCTAGATCTGTTGTCTGGAACCTAGGGAAAGGATTTTGTGGTTGAAACTTTGATATTTAATCCATCGTGCCCCCAGTGGTATTAATAAGGCAATTTATTGGAATTTTTAATAATCAATTTACCGTAACGTTGTATGTGCAAGTTCAATAGTAACATTCAAAATTTCACGAAAAATTCCTCCATCTAATTTGAAGCAAAATGCATTTATTCAGATATGTATTTCAAGTTCATTAAGCTCAAAATCAGAAAGGTTTTGATTTTATTCCAAATTAGTGAGTTATTAATAGTTTACCCAAACCAAATGGTCTGAATCCAAATCAGCTTTATTTTCTGTTCCAAGGTTTGGAGAATGTTTACTTTCTCGTTCAGGCAGCAAATATTTATTTTCATTGGTTCAAGTTTACAATTCATTAATTGTTAGGAAATGTAATGTGTGTATAGGAATTGTAGAGGTAAGAAACACTTGTGTCAGTAAAAAAAATATTTTCACTTTGACTCGGTCAGACTGATTACCATATATCAGCCACTAAGGTATTTTGTGAACATGCCGGATGTTAAGGGAATACATTAGCGATATCTTCTGATTGAGAAGAAACTCGTTATTTTATGAATTATTGTTTTTACGGTTTCCAGTTTTATTACCAAAGCATGTTTTTAAATGATCATTCAAAATTAGTAATTGCTGCTGATTCAGTTTTCGAAACATGTCTAGCTCCAGTGAGAACACAGTAGAAACAAGTGAGCTTAAATTTGTTCTCTCTGCTATTAACAAACTGTATTAAAAAGTTTTAGTCCATCCGTATTATATTATAATGTGTTCGTCACTTTACTAGGAGTGTTCCAATATTTCTGCAAATAACGTCTAAGTGCTACCTAGAGTTATTGCTTACATTTAGGGGTACGATGCCAGATAAGCATCTACATCTTTATCTGGAAATTGCCGTAGATTTATAGAGAGTATTGATTTGACAAATTTTATTCCATCTCGAATATTTAGTACTTTTGGTAAGCAAATTTTTTTATCAAAAATTGTTTGACGGCGTTGACGGCTCTCGTTTATTCTATAATAACGGAATGGTGGAATGAAATGTTTGTCCGATTCTTTTCACTGGAATTTTCAGATAAAAGCGCAGACACCAAAGTTGTGTATCAGTGAACACTCTTCAATAAGCGTGTGAATAAAAGTTTAGAAGTATGTAAGGTGTATTCTTAACAATCTTCATATCTGACTAAAACGTTTATATCGTTACAGTTATATTGAGGGTTAATTTCATGTGAGAGAAAAATTATACATTTAATCAGTAATAAGTGCATAATGGTTTGAGATACATTTTGGAAGGTACTGAAAAAAGTCTTATGAAACAACCACTACTCGTATAACGAGTTAATTTATTAATCGTCATAGCGCCTGAGTGTATGAATTATTTGTGCCGTCTAGTTAATCTCTCGTTTAATGAATTTAGCTCCAATCATTTAGTACTCCTACTTGCTAATTTAAGAAAGAGGAATGGCAAACCGCGCCCCTATCTCGGCAGAGATTATGGGTTATACAAAGAAATTACAAAGAGTAAAGTTTGTGTTAGTTGGTTGGCCAGCTGAGAGGAAATTGTTTTTTGTATTAAGTCAAATTTTATCGCCTTTTTTTATCACAATTAATCTGGCTTATTAAGAGCCGTTTTTTCAATTGATTGTAGAACATCTTTCCACAAATTTATTAACATTCATTCATCGGAAGTTTGTTTTCTAATTAAGGTATTTACTTGGCAACTAATCTATTCACTACAAAACTTTTAATATATGTTTTTGCTCAACACGGACGTGGTTCTGGTTAAATTAGCTTATTCTTAGTAAGCACATCCCGCATTTAAAATGTTATAACCTGGAACATCTTCCGTAGGACCGATAAATTAGAGTAAAAGCTTTGATTAATCGTTATTGTCGCCACACGTTCTATTGTTGCGTGCATTTTGCTATTTCCAGTTCCAATAACAATAATAGAAAACAAAGCGGTTATAAGAAATTATTGCACATGTAAGTCTCTCACGAGCACAATGGTCGACGCAGTTCAATAAACTGCATGGTTATTATTTTCCTCCGCAATAAGCTTGCACTTGTAATTGAGAATCATAACTTAATGAAAAATCGACACGAAAATTAATTATATATACAGAGTTGCCGACGCACAGAACCAGAACTATTCAATGGTGATTTTTTAAAATTAAAAGCACAATAGTAATTGTGGCTTAGAAAGGGTTGCTGAGGAAATATTAAAGGAAAATCTCAGTTAATAACTGTTTGAGATTATCTAATCGGAATATTATGGATTTTATATTACTTTGGATTCCTTACGTAACTGGTGAACAGTACATAGATGGAAACTAGGTCGCGAGGTAAAATAATAATCCTTTTATACTTACCTGATACATTAATCATAAATAATAAATTGAATCATTATTTTCAAATAATGAAAATTGCTGAGCAACGCATTAGTATCTATAATACAATGTACATCTGAAATATCTATATTTATTTTTCTGGTTTATTTCATGAGCAACAGTTGTTACTTCTACTTTTGTAAGTGCGTTTGATTTAGTGCGTCTGGAGTTTTAGGGGTGGTATCAGATTTTTTTAAATATGTGATAAGTAAATGCGTCTATTTTGTGGCACATTAACAATGCATACTAATGCAATGAGAACAAAACCTATTTTAAAAAGTTAGTTTTTAATTATCGGGTTTAATATTAAAGTATTCTGCTTAACTCGATTTGTGGCGTTTGTTGGAATGTTACAGACAATTGACCATGAGTAATTAGGTATCTGTTACTTGTGGTTATTTAAGGTTCTTTTTGTTTCGTATATGTAGTTTCCCTCTATGTAGTCAATTAGAAATAACACATTTTTCTTTACTTTCAGGTTAAAATTGGAATGTGAGAAAATAGCTAGCGAAAAAACCGAAATGCAACGACATTATGTCATGGTAAGTAATTTTGAATTTTGAAAAATTTTAATTAAAATTTTTCCGGTGGCTGTTTATTTTCTTTTGTTGGAATTATTTATTCTAGAGGATTCAAATCTATAGTACTTAATTACCTATTCGTTTTATGTTTATTTAATATTTTTGCAACATCTCCAATGAACGCGATTTATTCTTTGCAACTTCAATGTTCAACAAGGAACTGTACTGTACTGTATGGTTACGAGGTAATATAGCGCTTTGAAATCACAAGTGTCTAATACTAGCTGATTTTAATGTTGCATATTTTGGAGTCGATATTAATTAAATATGTTATTTAGCTAACCAAAATAAGCAATACAGGGTGTTCGACGGATATGGTATCCTGACCGTAAATCGAGAGTTTCTAAATAGTCCAGTCAGATTAGACTTTAAAAGACCGGTTTCGTTTACTAAATAGATAAAGGTAAACGATTATTGGAAGTTGTTTGGAAGGATGTCAGAATATTGGGACAATAGTTTGAGTGCGATTTCCGGCTGTGGAACATTATTTAAATAATTAAAGAAATTGCAAAAAACCATTTTTTTCGCATAACTTTTGAACTATTGATGCTTTTGAACGGACTATTTTCGACTTGTCTCAAGACAAATTTAAGGTTTCAAGAAGGCAAAGACCTAAAAGAACGTTGATTTTTACCAATCATGAGTTTGTGTAAATTTTAAATCTGATAATGGCGCTGTTGTCTCGCCGAAACGTAATGAAATAAACCATGTTCAAAACTTTTACTTCACACTTTGACTGAGACCCAGGAATATCATAACAAGTGCTATGAAGGTTTTTTTCGTATATATCAGACTGTAAACCGGCAAATCGCAAATTAGGCTCATTGAAATAAAAACGATTCTATTGTATCATGATACAAAACACAATATTTTTCTGTTAAAACATAGCACTTTGCGAAATTAAATGTAGAAGCTAAATTGAACAGTGAACACGTCGTTTGTCACGTATAATGTATGTCGTCGACGCGACGTCTGCGACAATTTTCCTCTAATTGATCTAAACAGCGAATTGATTAGTTTCTAGATAAATATGTGATCACTTTTACGGTAGTTCCAAAGGTCTAGAACACTGAACAAATTTTATTATAAACTTGACATGCAAAAGTATACACAATTAAGTGATGATAAAGTAACTCAATAAAGTTATTTCTGAAGTCATCCTCGCATATCATGGCAGCAGGCTGGTTAAAGTAAATATATTAATCTGTCATACGAATTTCAAGTGTAATATAGGAAATTTCGCTTCTGACGATTCCGAAAACAACAGAATGCGTTCAGAATTGAACTGGAATAACAAGAATTTTCCGGTTTGAATCAAGAGTTTTCCAGAACTTGTTTTACTTTACCTGGATGCCCGGAAACACGTTCTAAAATTAAGCCACATATTTTAACGATGTTTTTTATGAACAGGAACATGTATGCATAATGTAATTATACAACATTTGATTCTCAATATTGTCTCAATTGTTTTATAATGTTTTATGTATTTTCTTATCTAATATAAATGCCGACATAGAAAATTAATCTTCAGTTTCATAACACATTGTTAAGTGCTTATTTTACAACTACATGAGCAATTTCCTTCTTGTCATTAGTTTTGCATATGAAATATAGCAGCTTAAACCACTTTAAGAAATGGTTGTGATTCATTATGTATTTAACAAATCATTTTCCAATTAGCGAGTCACTAAATTAAATCAAATCTGTTAGAATGTTTTGTTAAGTGTTTTTCGGTTGTTTTGCATAACTTATTTTTAATTGTTTATTTAAGAAGTATATGATTATTGTGTGATGTAATTTTGCAAACAAGTTGTATCTTGCGGTGTAATTGATTCGTAGCTATTTTCAAACGTGGCTCGATTTTTAATTGACATTATTTCGAAGGAAATAGATAAAAGCATGACCACTCAACATCAAATGATGTTAGAGAAGCGAGAAATTTTAATGTTTAATAATTTCAATAATTCCGATAATTATGAGTGGTTTCAAGCTCTCTAATTGACGGAGTAGGTTTCATAGTCCAGTGGGATGTAGGCAAGCGGTCCGTCACTCCAATGGATTAATATTTAAAATTGTTGGAATAATGCATTACACATTTCCATTTCACTACATAGAGATTTTATAGTTTCGGACAACACAAGGAAATAAGACATAATCTCTTTTAGGCGAAGCGCCAAACCTATTAGCCTCACACTGCATTGGCACAAAACCAATTTAGTATCGCGCTATGCAAATATGATCCCACACGCCAATTATCTTTTGATATATATTGTTTTAGTATTTAGTTGACAGCTAACAATTACTAGTGTATTTGCAATCCGAGTTCGTCCAAGACCATTCGAATATAGAGAAACGGTTTCGTTCTGAAAATCAGCTCATGTAGGATCTAGGCAACCTCTGTGACGTGACGTGGTCTAAAAAGGTTCTTACCAGTTAACAGTCTACAACATGTTTGGATTTCATATATGGCGCGACGAGAATCAAATTCGTCAAAGAGAAGTTCAAACTTGGATAGCGTGAGCTGCACTGTATTATTTCCTTTAAATGTATCAAAATACGGCCTGCGCGGCATACAGGGTGAATACAGGGTGATTCAAAATTGGCGTCATTCCTTTTAAGGGGTGATGGATGCTCACTTTGAGAGTACAAGAAAAATATTGGAAAAATTTTTTTCGAAAATTTCTAGAAGATATTAACAGTTGAAGATCGAATTTCAACTTTGCTATTAAGCATTATTTTGAAATTGTTCCATGTTTTTTAATTGGTAGCATATTGAAATACTTAAGCATTCGAAAAGAAAAATAACGATCTTTGCTTCAAATTACGAAAATTTTCGATATTGAAAAAGTTCTGTTCTACAATTTTTTGATGAAAAGGCACAGCGGCAATGATGTTTTTTGCCATTAACAGATAGTTACAGGTGGATAGCCCTTGTCAATAATAACAATAATCTGTCAAACTGTGACTTACTTTGAATTTTCTTTCACGAATTTGCGGCTCTGCGATTAGTTCAGGGGAAATGCTGCAGTAATATAGCAGAAGCTGAAATAATTCACGCCAACAAAGGGCAAGGAAAGTGGTTCCAGGAAGATATTGGACGACAATCAATGTTCGGGTTCCAAGCACAGAGGAGCAACTATTGGAAATAATCGAATCAGGGCCTTCCAGGGGCACTCAGAGCACAATAACTGACACTTTCCCAGGCATCAAATAAATACCGGCTACATCCCTACCACGTTTGTATGATACACACAGCACAAGGAGTTACAAATGGAGCACGAGTTAATTAACTGAATACGAGAAGCCGCTTGATAAGAGTGGATAATAAGGAGATTACACAGGCAGTAGCTTGTTTGGAGTTAACCATTCAAATATTTGGTGTTGTATGGATTATTTATCTAAACACCAAACCCCGCAGAATTCGAGGTTATGAGAACAGGTTGACATTTCGAAATAGGTTCCGTCATTCAACGATTCCTGTTCAATTTACCGTTTATCCTTGTCTATTTTATTGTCACTCTCTATTTATCCATGGTTGCCGGAATTTTAAATAATTACGATGCAACAGGTATTTGCGCAATGTTAATTAGGCAGATTACCTTGAAAAACGTTGCTGCCGTATTTCTGATATCGTTTTTTCCAAATTTCTCAGTTTTTAATAACAATTAATTTATTTTACTAGTTTTTCTGTACTCCTATAACACCGCCAGACAACACCCCTAGAGGAATGACGCCAATTTTGAATCACCCTGTATAAAGTATCTAATATCAAGTAAATCAACAAAAAAACCATTCCATTGGAAAGTAATTCAAACTGTAAGTGCAATAAGAAAATAAAATGCTGCGACACTGACTGCAGTCGACTAAAAAATACCTCCAGTCGTCCTGCAAAAACTTCGGATAATTGGGCCGTGGCGAATTTAATGCACCAATAAATTTCGGTGGCAGCTAAGTCATGTTGATTTTTTCGATTTACTGCACTGTATGTAAAGCATTAATTAAAATTAAAGTAAGTTAACCATGTCAATTGAGTCAAAAATAGGGGCATCGAATGGCAAATGGATGAGGGCTTATGCTAACTTCACTAATGACAAACGCTCATAATGTTCATTATTCGTAAAAGTACATGTCTTTAATGTTATGTTAAAATACTTAAAAATTACACTAAAACCGTAGATGTATCTCTAAAACAGAATATGTTGTAGTAAGTTTTATTGAATTTTTAATTCTAATAATCCTAAATAATAATACAGAGTGATTGTTAAGGAATTTTTCGACATTTTATGAAATGTTTGTTATTATTGCAATTTTTCAATGTTTTTTATTTTAAATGTGCTATTATTCTTCCTTTGATATGTGTATAACGTAAGCATTCTTTGCTCTATATTTGGTATAATAATACCCATTATTTGGTATTTTTACGTGGTCGCTCCATGGCTTCTTAAACATCTAGAATTTCTTCAGCCCAAAAAGTACATTAACGCACTGTTGCGAATAATATTTAAAAAATAAATTTATCATCAGTGAAAGAGTACGCTAAAATTATTATCTTGTTTAAATACAAAATGACATGTCTCTACCAGAAGATTGCGCAACGAATTGATTATATCTCAGACATCCGAAGTTATGGGAGATTTTGGACAAACTGGAAATAGTAAATGTTTTCCGTACATTTCTCCAATTTTCGTCGCATTGTTAATAGACGATTGGAAAAAAATGTCTAACAATGATTTTGACTTACTCATTTCCTTATATTTAACAAGTTTTTTTAAATGTTGCACACTGTTATTAAACGTGTTTTTAGTGTGTTTTCAACTTTCTCATGTCATAGAATTCAGGAATAGTAGTTTTCGATACAAGTTGACACCCGAGACGAAGTTGAGGGTGTCAATCCGTCAGGAGTTCGAAAAACGGATTTTCGCCCTCGTATCGAACAATATTTTTTATTCGAATAAAGGAAT